TGTTGCATTAACCACCAGCCACTCATAACGTTTGAACAGAGGAAAACTTCTAGGCACCGGCCACTGTGAGTGATTGTGATGATCAATTGTAGCTCGCGTTCTACAATGCGTCGTGTGCCGTAAGCCACAAAAATTGACCAGTCACAGTGAGATCGAATGTGGGGAGAATACTTGATTGTGATTGGCTCATTTTTATGACCCACGGTTCATGACACCGAACACGACGCATTGGGTGCTTTCCATGTAGTGAAACAAGTATCATTTTATCCTTGTTAATCATTAAAAGCCAAGAAAGATAGAACGATACTTATGTCGACTTGTGTCACTAAATGGAAAGCATTGTAGAATAGGTCGTAGGCGCCATAGACGCCTCGCACACAGGATCTGCATTCATGCGGTTACGCATCCGAGAGTGAGGAGGTTGTGTACATACGTGTCGCGAGCTTTCTATACGAGCGCGTAGTGTGAGTGCGGTGCGCACGCGCGCCGGAGTGAGTTGCGTGTATGCATGTGTGCGTGCGTGAGCGCGCGTGTGTACGGTATAGATATACGGATTTTGCAATTGGAATCAACGCGAAATCCCGTCGTCTCGATCCTCTAACAACATCATTGGCGCACGTTAACGTCATTCGCGTCGCTCTACTCGACGCCAGACGAGACGGCGAGTTTGCGCGAGCGTAACTTGATACCACAGAGACGACGATTCGGCCAGCATTCTCGCACTTTCCCGAAAGACAATCCCTCGCGCGGTCGTGAATGCAATTCTCCGCTATCCAACGCATATATATGACAGATATTCATAATCTTAACGCTCTCGTCGTATATCGACAACAAGAATTGACCAGATGAAGGTAATTGCCCACCCACCGCGCCCATAAATAAAATCGCCAGAAATGTATAAAAATCACGACAGAGAAAGAAAGGGATGAACAGAGTGAGAAAGAGAGAGAAAGAATAGAGCAAAAGGAATTATATACACGGTGTTGCGTTTGATTGTTTATTGCTAGAAGGATCTCTCTATTTTCTTCCTTCTTGGGAAGTATCGCGATGTAATTTGATTGTATTAAATTTCATTCAGAAATACGTTAATAATTCTTGCACTGTTTGATTTTCATATTTGTTAACTATTTTAATGAGATATCCTCTTTAAAAAAATCATACTCGAGAGTAACTTGTAAGATAAAAATTGAAAATATTCTTTGTCATTTTGAGTTTCCCATTAAAACGTTTTGTGTATATGTATTTATTGTTCTCTCTCTCTC